GTCTTTTTAGTTTTTTGTCTACTCTTTGTTTAAAATAATGTTTTCCTAATCTTCCTGGAGAAGTAATTGAATTTGAGGAGGACTAAAGGGGTTTGATTTATGGGAGCATCTTTTATTGCACTTTCCCTCTTGAGCTGTCTGTTATTAAGCATCTTGGGGGCTTTGTATGTCCTATGACACATCACAACAGTGTTGGCTCCTTTTAAATGATTTGTCTTGGCTTTCTGACCTGTCAGATTCATTTAACAACATTAGCAAATGAGAGTTCTTCATGACAGGAAGAATTGCTTTCATGATAACCATAATAAAGATGTATGCTTCCCCAGACAACAGAGGAAGAAAAACAATGCTGGGAATGCATATAGCAGAAAGGAGTGCCTGATTATTCTCTGAAATGACAAATTGGAACATATAAAGGCTAATTCTATAGCCTGTTTTCATTAATATTTGTGCATTTTGAATGGACCATGTCAGATGAAACACTCTCATACTTAGACTACAAGATTTACCCAACCATTGTCTCTTTCCATACAGTATCATTGCCCAAATCTGTAGCACCTTTATAGATTAACTTGGAATCTTTGAACTGGGCTGATAAGATTTTTTTCTTCTGTTTTCTTTTTAATGAATGTACACTTTTCCTATGTTATGAATTAGGATGTTATGCAAAGTAGTTTGCAGTTACTCTTATTCAGCACATCCCTATAAATTACATTTTTCATTTCATTTTATTTTTTTAATGTAAGGGAAACTGAAGCTGGAAGAGACTGGCTTGCCTAAGGCATTCAGACAGTTCCATAGTTGAGTATGAAACCAATTATTCCATAACTGCATAATACTACAGCAGAAAATTAAACTATTCTTAAATCATGAACATGCTCTTTAAAGGGCTGTTTGGGAAAAATACTGATGTCTTGTTTTAGAATATTAGTGGAAAACTAGTTCCTTACATATGAAATGGACATATATCTATGTTCATACTAACATTTATAAGCTATGGAAGTAGAATTCCTCTAAATGATTGTTCATATATATGTCCTATACTCTATCCTATCAGGTGATGGAATCCATATATATCATTCAACCATATCAGTAAACTTTTAGACAATAAAACTGAATAAACTATACAGTACAGCTGCTCTAAAGTAATTGGTATTAATATTACAACATTCTAGTGAGAGCCATAAATCCAGTAAACTAGCATATAAATCAATAGAAATAATTTGTGGATTGAGCACAACTTATTTAATATATAACCTGTCTTATCCTTGAAAATGGTGGGAAAGGTCACTATTATACTTCATTAGTTCTTCCTAGGTTTTCTGTCATAAGCTATGATCTTTCTATGCACAGGGATCACTTTTTTATAAGAATTTATATAGCATAAAGTATTAGGACTTTCCTGTTGGTGGGCTGAAACTCATTTTTACCTGCAGTACATTTACTATTCCTTTCACAAAACATTAGTGCATCACCTTTCCATTTTGAACTACTGTAACTTCCAACACATTGTAATGAACACCTTGAGAACTAAATGGGGAACTGATCTACGTGACATAATATTTTAAGGCTTCTCTCTTTGCCACTTCTGTTGAGATCAGAACCTCAGACGTTTAATTCCAAGTGAACAGTGAAGGAATGAGTATAGATTATGATTTATAAAATAGCTTTTGAGATCAAGCGGCATAAATATGGTCTAGCCAGAGCACTGTTTTGCTCCACTGGATTGGATTGGAGTAAGCAAGGTGGGGAACCACAGTTTGCTAGCCACTTCTATCTTTCAGGTTTGTTTTTTAAACTCATTATAAAACAAAATAGCTGAAAGATTCTCTTTTTTGTTCAATTCATATGATCTCTGATCAAGTCACCCTATGTGAAATGATCCTGTAAACCAGCCCCGCCTTTGTAATTGTCTTTTAGGTCTCTTGGACCTAAGAACAAAAGAAAGTGCATGAAGACAACAGGCAATTTGGGAAGGAGCCTTGTAAGTTAAGAGATAGAGACAGGATATAGCTGTGGATACAGAAGGCAGCAAAGCTTCACAGTATTGAATAGTACAGAAGAAGTTGATGTATATAGGGAAAGTTTTAATCACCAGAGCTCTTACCAAACCAACTAGAAAATCTTTTGCCCATTGTTTTTGCCACTTCATTCTGACAATCTTCTTGGAATTACAATAGTGGTAGATTCTCTGAGCAATGACTTTCGTATTATATGCATGTTTTGTTGAATGATTCCCCTGCATAGGGCATTATTGTCAATGTAAGTGTGTACCCCCACAGATACTTGGAATTTAATAAGAATTACAGTTGGTCTTCTGGTTAGTCTTCTGGTAACCTTATTGAAGACCATACTGTTCAATATTGGTGTTGGCTTCAAGCCTGAGATTGTTAATAATGTCATATATTCTTCCCCAAATTTTATACTTGTTTTTTTTTAACTATAATTTTTATTGAGAGTTTTTACATAGATGAAAGACAAATACAGAAATTTAAAAAGAGAGAAGAAGAGAAAAGAAGTGCAGAGAACATTGCAGTTAAAGAAAAAATGATAATTAAAGAAGCAGTTTCTGACCTTCTTTACAGCAGTTACAAACTCATACTCCATCCCTTTCTCTTTCATGTTACAATAGTCCCTTCAGCCCCTTATTCAATCCTTTTTCAATCATCAAATCCAGAAATCACCATTTCACTTTTTTCCATTTTCAGCAAAAAATCTATAAAATGTTTCCAGTCTTTTATAAAAGTACTTATTGTTTTGCCCCTGACCAAACTGGTTAGTATTGCCATTTCTGCTAATTCTGCCATCTTCATAATCCATTCCTCCATTGTGGGTGTTTCAATATTTCTCCATCATTGTGCATATAATAGTCTTGCTGCAGTTACCATATATAAAATTGCCCAAATTTTACCCTTGCATAACCAAAAGAACAGTCCTGGTATAATGTTAAATCTGCAATATTCAGACATAATGGTTTGGATCCCTTAAGCTAAATATACTTTAGGAAGCTCATAGAAATAGAACTTATCTTAGAATCCAACCAAAAGGGTGACATTGAGTCTCTCCCACTGTTATGGAGATACTGTAAATCAGTCATAAAGCATATACACTGTATGCAGAAGACATACAGAAGACTCAGGTTCTGTTGAAAGTGAGCTTCCAGGGTTTCAGAGAGTCTTTCCCAATGATCTAGTTGAGGGTCTTTCAACTGGAAATAGAATATCCAGTTAAAAGATCATCAGGTAGCACCATTGTGGATTAATGTTATTGAGAAGTATTGCATCTAAGTTGGTACAAAATTTCTGTCTATAATATTGCATCTGTAACATCCCAACCACACACAGGAGGTTCAGGAGTGCGATAAGTAAGTGAAAAGAAATGCAGGGATTCTTGCAACGGCTATTGAAAAATGACTTCATTTCCCAACTTATTCACATCAAGCAATTCAGAGGACAACAGTTTTCACATTTTGAGAGAGAGGGCAGGGAAAAACTGGTAGGAGGCAAGGAAGGTTCCTTGTCTTTTTCGCTATTACTCATGTAGCATATCAAATTGTGGCTTGTTTCCTTCCTACTTCCCCCTTCCTTGTCTTTAAAAGTGGGAAGGAAATATATCATTTCATTGGCTGGCTGGCAGCTGTACCTTCAATGTTTATGTTAACTGCATGGTTTTTCAACATGTCCTTTCTCAAACTGCTTTACATAGGCCAAAAAAATGAGAATTGCTGGGGAGCAAACCAGTCAAGAAAGTTACCACTTCGTATTATGGATATAGATATAGAAATCTGTTAAAGAAGGAGCAGCTCCACCTTCCTAAACCAACCATTAGTTGCCCTCTCCAGAATCACCACTCATTTTGAGAGAGTTGGTTTCCCACTCTCTCATCCATTCCCATGCTAATGAAGTATAGCAGGTACCAGTAAATTCTTTCACCTGCAAATTCTGTGGGGCAATAGTTACTCCTTAGAACAGTGTTTCTTAACCTTGGCAACTTTAAGACGTGTGGACTTCAACTCCCAGAATTCCCCAGCCTGGCTGAGGAATTCTGGGAGTTGAAGTCCACACATCTTACAATTGCCAAGGTTGAGAAACACCGCCTTAGAATCTCTCCTAGTCAGCATCCAGAAAGGTATCAAAACTATCAATTTCACTTTTGGAGAGAAGGTGAAAGAGATTTATTCTATGGGGTGAGGCAGAAATTAATGGGCTGAAGCTTCAAAAGATTTCCCAAAGAATTTGAACCAAGTGGCTAATTTGCTGCTCTAGGATAAACCAAGGTACATAAGACCTAAAGAATTAACAGACGCATCCTCATACTGCTTTACATGGGTGAACATATATTAAACAGGATTCTTGCTAATCAGCACCTCAATGCCTAACTTTGATCTTATAATAAATTATGCTTAAATGTAATAGAAAAATTTGAAAAATGTAATAATGAAGTTTGACTACACCAAATATAAATATTTGTTATGTCTCTCCAAGCTTGTCTGCCAGAATTCTTACAGGATGCATTTGAAAGTAGCTGCCACTCTTGAAGGTGTGCCCTTAGTATTTAAGGTATAACTATGGCAGCTAAGTGTGAAAAACAAACTACACATAATTGTGTAATGTCTGAAGCTACTTATTAAATGCTTATGCTCCCAGAAACATAGCTTATAAAGAATATTACAGTTTACAGTTTACATTACTCTGTTCATTTACTAGGAACCTTTCAAATAGAACATTATTATGTATTTATTAGTAGAACTTTTCCATGATTTCCTAATTAAAAACAACAACACCAGAGTAAGGATATAATAAGCAGTCTCGCGCTGCACTGATATATTGTCACTCTCTTTGCTTTTACACTAGCATAAAAGATATCTGCAGAATAACAAATGCAGGTTTCCCTAAAATGATTTGAAAATTTCTGGAAGCTCATGCTTAAGATTGTTTGCTTTTCTCAACAGTTTGTGGGTAGTGACTGACTTCACTTTGTTTTGTCCTTTTTTCTTCCAGGCCCTTCATCCAACACGAATCCTAAAGAAAAAAAAAATCCTTGCCAAAATCAACTGTCAGCAAAGACAGGGATATCGTTTACAGCATTTGTGAACCCTGCATTCTTTTCCTAATGAAACAGAGACTGTTAGCGAGCCCCAGAACTTGAGGAAAGAACCGGCTTGTCTGGAACTGAACTAATTTTGAAGTATGCAAATTTTTCTTATTGTAGGGTGATCCACCACCAACTTGAGGATATGTTGGCTTAGCCACCATTCTGTTTCAGAAGACTGTGTAGCCTTTGCAGTAGTGTGCTTGTCATGGCGTTCCAAAATGGTGACGGGTTGCAGGATGCTTTTGGGTTGGCTTTTGCTCTTCAGGGTTCCCCCCAGCCCACCCTTCTTACGGTGTGAGGGGTTTTTTTTCCTCCCTGTGAAATGCTTTACTTGCCCCTTCTAATGTGCCAATTCCTCATGAAAATTAAATACATCCTATTATATGCACAATGAAAAGCTGAATCCGTTTGGGCTTGAAATATCAACAGCACTTGAATACCAGAGTTTCCAGAGGAATAGCTGTATTATTAGCCTGTTGCAGCAACACCAAGGACGAGTACGGTGGCACTTTAAAGACTTAGCAAATTCGGTATGGCGTGGATCAGATGCTAAGATAAGGTGGTTTAGGGGTAGAGGGGAATGCTAAACAATAAGGCGAGAGAGAAATGCAACACAAGAAGTATCAATACCCTCTGCATTTTGTTTCTGTCTTCAGGATAGCACTCCAGGCATGGAATGACGTAGGCTCTGGTCCATGAAACGTTGCTCTTTAAGATGCCACTGAACTCTTTGTTGACTACTGCAATCTTTAGAATACCAACCAACCAGTTGAATTCAAGAGGTAGTTTGTGAGATGACTTAATGTTTGTATTTGCTTTGGTGTTTTTATTTGGGGGTTGGTTAGCTAACTCATTGGTTCTGAACCAATCCCTATAACTCTCCAACCAAATATTTTCCTAATCTTGTATGTGTTTCTTTTTATTTCTGGTACCAAGAGAGGGTGGATTTTACCTCACAAAATTAGCCACCTAATGTTGCATCCTAACCAGGGTTCATTTGGTGTGAGGGAAAAGGGCATTTCATCGTTGCGAGTCAGTAACTGACGTGTTGTCAGTCAGATCAAATCTAGCCTAGGGTTATGCTAGCAGTTTTGCCCAAATGCTGCAGTAAATGTTAGCTTTTTTGTTCGCCCATACAGCTTAGCAATTGGCCAATCTGAGGTGCATTGTTTACCACTTGCCAAATATAACCACATAGAAGGCAACAGCTTGCTTTCAGATTATTACTCTTAATAATAATAGCAACAACAACACAAAAACCTAAAAGAAAGAAATGACTATATTGCATGAGAACGGAGTTTTATGTATCTGTAACATCCAAGGCTTGGATGAGTTATTTCATTCATAATCATTTATTCATCTTTCTCTTCCTTATTCTTTCCCTCTTGTGATACATGGTGGAAACTGGAAAAAGATGGTTAGGAAGGAGACACACAGAGGGAAAAACCATACAGAGAGCTTTTCATAGGAGCGTAGATTGTAACTGGATAAATTCCACTGAAAAACAAAGTAGTTTTTATATATTTTGCTTATAGGGATTTCTTTTTGTAAATTTATATAGTAATAATGACTGAAAGTTATGGTGCTGTGCAAGTCCTGTTTAATTATTTTTTATTGGTATTTTTCCTGTGAAGTGGGGCAAAGAAGGGAAGAAAGAAATAGGGAAAACCTGATGGTACGTTTTAATTTTTTTTTTTTTTTTTTCAATGGTGTGAGGACACTTTGGCTTAGGACAACATATACATATTTCTCCAAAGTGATATATGAAGAACTTTTTTTGGCATAAAAGCAGAATGCATATAAATATATAAATATATTTTATTATGTACAGAAACAGATCATTATGCATGATTGTTAAGAGAACAGACTAGCATTTTAACCCAAAGTTTCGGTGCATGAGTTTCCACCAGCACGTGAATCATGTACCTGCGTGGTGTGATTCCTCTCAGCTACCACCCTTCACTGCGCGTGCACACGCAGGCATTCAAGCACATTCACACACATACATCGGTGGGCCCTGTATTGCTCCTTCTTTTCCAACTCCTGAGGTAATATTGGTGAAATAACAGCTCCTTGTGTGATGAAAGTTTTGTTTTGTACTGTAGCTGCCTCCTCCGTGTGCTGCGCTATTCTCTAGATGAACACATGAATTCCACCATGCAGTTCATAACTTAAATGATGACAATTCTGTGCTGTTGTGGTTCTAAATAGCTCATAGAATATACACTTTCAAACTAGTTAAAGATTTTTATCATTTTCCAAATAAATACAGAATTATTTTTTTAATAATTAAGGTGGTATATTTGTCTATGGCAGGGCATAGTTTATCATGTTTCTTTAATTAAATAGAACCAATGTGTGTGTTTGTTCTTCACATTGGAAAGGGCTTCCCTGAAAGGAATACATTATAAAAATGTCATCTGTTCCAGGGGCTTAAGAGAAGTATTGACTTATCTTGAGAGACTCAGTTACAGGTACCTATTACCAAAGCTAGTTAAGAATGTGCTCACATGCCTTTACTAAATATGAGTATCTGGCACATCATTATATGTGAATTAAGCCAATGATGATATTATGGGATGTTTGTTGTTATTTTGTTCTTTGAAATGGAAATGTATTTGGTGATGGACAATTTATTTCCAAGTTTCTGTCTATCTTCTCAACAGAAACTCTGTGCATAAAAAAAATCCGGTACTGTATAAAGTTTATGGTTTCCTCTACTTTGACTGGGTTTCCTTTCAATACTTGAAAATACAATATATCAGGAAGCTGATGCAGAAAAAGGAACAGATTCATTTCTCAGCTCTAATTTTCATCAGGTGACCAGGGATGCGATGACACCAAAATGACAGCCTGTATGCAGTGACATCATCACACAAATGCCATGATTATGTACTTGCATTTCAACATCTGACACAAGTACATACACTGCAACCTTTCTGTGATGTTGCCACAGCTGTTTTGTCATTAGCCACCACCACCCCATCTGCAGGTGCCTGTGCAGCTGATTAATTGACATTAAACAAAGAACTATATTTGGAGCCTGGCCAAATTTATGCAAGTTTTAAATCCCACTGATTTCAACCAACTTCAGTACCCACCATAAATATCAGTAATGCTTTGAGACTCTCCTGAGATTAAAGTCCTATTAAACCAAGGATGACTTTAGAATAAGCCTGCGTTAATTAGATTGCACATTAGTAACATTAAGCAATTACTGGTAACATTGAAGCTGCTGTTTTATTCATGGATGATTCCATATACATTTCAGTAGGAAAACCTCCACCTCCTCAGTTAGCATCTGTACATATTTAAATATTTTTATTTAAATGATAAAAAAGCAAACTGGGGAGGGGGGAAGAACCAGAGCTGAGTGATAGGGCACAGACATTGATATCACATGTTCCAGGTTCTTCCTCAAAGCATCCTTGGGGGTATGATGCCAATCAATGGAAAATAATATTGACTTATATGAATCCTTGGCTTGATGCGATGTAAGGCAGCTGTGACCTGAATTTTTATATTTCTTGAGAGAGCTGTTGGGGGACAATCATGGAATCCCAGGCACATGTTAGAGTGATGATGATGATGGTAACAAAGGACCCTTGTGTGTGTGTGTGGGGGGGGGGAACATGGCATACTTACAAACCACTTTAGCCAGGATACTGGTATTACAGGCAATTGGGTAAATTGGCTTCAACAGGATAAATTCAGTTCCTAGGATCCCAGTTGATGAAAACTGCAATAAGACTGCACTTCTCTGGAAAAAAAAAACTACTTTGAAATTCAGATGCTATTACAGTCAATATGGGCCTGTTCGAAACAAATTTAAGCCTCGTCCTGTACAAGCTTACTTACAAGTGTCTCAGAGGATATCGAACTGTTTCCAGACCATCACTCTCCCTGTGAGTTAGACTGCACTTCCCAGCGTTGGAACCAGCAGGCCCTTTACTAGGCTGATTGGGAAGTGAATTTTTTTCTAGAGGTGAAGACCAAACATGGTATGCTGGATTATTTTCTCAGTCACAGGAACCTTTAACGTAAAGCGATTGCATGGAAATCCATCACTTGCTCTACGTCACTTCTTTTCCTGTTTGTCCCCTCTGCCTCTCACAATATAAACAACTCCAGATTTGAGGTACTATCCCCAACTGGGAACCCAGTCACAAAATTCTGCTCTCAAGGATCCTTCCTAGCAAATGGACTGCTGCTTATAGCTTAAGCTTTCTGTATTATCTTTTGCCTGGAGAATGGCCACAAAACATACAATGACTGACCCAATTTTCTTCCCTAGTTACAACTATGGTGTTTCTGTTGGCCTAAAGGAGCCAGGTGCTAGGCAAAAGCAAGCAACCAATAAATCCTCAGACACTGGTCTAGTTCAGGTATACCACTAAACCATGGATTCAAGGCTGTATATGGCCCACAGGCCAGATGGCAATATGTCACACACTATGAGGCTCTTATTAGGGGAAGAAAGTCATCAGACGGCCCCCAGACCAAAAACGTTTACTCCCATCTGCATTAAGCTATGGTTTAGCCTGATGGGGATGGGCTGTCATGAATATTCCTTCCACTTGACCACCAGGGCAGGAGACAGATGCTTTCACATTCGGTGCTGAATAAGTTGCCGCTTACCATTACATTTTTAAATCCAAGAAGTCTGTATAATTTAGTCCTTGTTTGTTTGCATAAGCATGGTTGGAATAAATCAGTTTTTAAGTTGGGATCAAGTGGAACACCCCCACCCCCTACCCCATTTATTCATTTGCAAATGTACATTTATATTGCTTTTTTCACACCAAACTGAAAGTGGCTAATGAATAAAAACATTAAACAATGAAGGTGAAAGCTGCTTAACTCCTCAATTCGTGCAGGAAGGAGGAGCAAGGAAGGAAAGAGTCCAAGCTCAAGGAGCAACCCATGTTCCTCTACCTGATACCTTCCAAATGTCTTGGGAACAACTCCTCCCAGAATTCCCCAGCCAGCCAATAAATAGATTGGTTGGGAATTCTGAGTTGCACTGTGCTGTTCTTTACCAATAGGTTTGCATTTGGCCATCAAGCCAAATTATTACATATTTCTTTCATGGAAAGCTAATACAGTTGCTGAGACCCTTTTTGCAACCAAGCTCCATCTTTAAAAGGTAAATGTCAACCCCTAACCTTGTAGTAGTCCAATAAAGATTTGAGTTTCCAAACCAGATACCATCCCAACTGTCCATCAGTTAACACATAAGGGTTCACTTCTGAACATTTCTGAATACTCCAGTGCTATAAAGCATTTAAACATGAGATCATACTCTTGAGGAGTTTCCTTTTTATGTACATAAATTAGACTCCATTTTTCTAAGACTGTTGATTGATTTGTGGGATTGCACTTGTAAAATAGAATTACACAACTAACTCCCATCACCCTAATTTTTGAATTATGAGCCCATTAAAAATTGAAATAAGGGTTGGCACAGATACACAAGCAATTTTTTTTTAACTGTCTGCTGAATAGCTCATATCATTCTCTTTTTAGATTGAATCTTTGTTTTTACTGTTACAGGAATACTTTTTCTAAATCATAAGTTAACCAGTCTGCTGCCCATCATATCTTTATCTTAAGAAAAAAAAAGTGAACATGTTGCTCTTGAAAATGACATAATTGCCTGGCAGCCAATCTCTGTTCATTACATTCTTTACATGATATATATCAGAAATACCAGCTGATATGGAAGGGGACCAGATACTTTAACTTGCTATCAGGAGGGATGAGGGATATATTGTACATTTTGGCTTCACATGTGGAACTTTTTTTAATCAAAAAAGGTTGTATGAATGGACAAAACATGTATACAGTATCTGTACAACTGTCTTGTCTGGATTATTTCTTTCACTGTTGAGCCACATCCTTTGGAAGAATATTCTATCACTGCCATAGTACATGGCCATCTTTCTGAAAGGGGTGCACAATTTTTACTTTTTGTATGAGCTACTTGCAGTTTCATTTGAAAGCTGGCAGTGTCATAAACTTAGAGGAGGCTTTTCTGAAACCAAATGCTGACATAGGTGAATATACTACCTTACTACATAAGAATTGGATGTCAGTTTGATTTGGAAATCTTTCCCTTTTGCAAATGAAATAGTGGTGCAGAGCTTAACTCCACTTGATGTTAGTAGATATTGCCTTGTGTACTCCATTCTCAACAGTAATCTAGTTTGTAAAATAAAGTGTGATGCATGTAAATAAAGCATAATGGATCTCTATGCTGAAGGTATAGACTCATTTGTCTTTTATTTAGTTTGTGTTTCTGGAAACCAGATCACTTCAGAGAGAGGGAAAAGAAACAGCTCCTGTGTGTAATGCATCATTTATTTTTATACAGTAGTATCATGGTTAACCTGTATAGTGAAAAAATACACACTGACTGAAACTAACTCTTCAGGATGCAGGTCTGTGGAGGAAAAGAACTAACCTTTTGACTACTTACAATTATACACTTCTTGCATGTGGAAAGCAAGTGCAGCAGAAGGAGGACCTACTGTTTTCCACCTATATGCATATTTTCTCTTTTTAGCCAAACTCATTTAAACTTGGATTCCAATCCCACTTTGGTTGCTGAACTAACATGATACTCTATATAACTCTCCCATTTCATAGACTCATTCTCCTTGAGTAAAGAATAGCAAAACTCCTCAGAAGATGTAAATGAATGAAATCGGGAAAAATGCAGTGAGTCCCATCTGATGGAATTGTGGCATCGTATATAGTGCCAAAGATGCTTAGTTTCACTGACTGACCCAAAAGGTATCAAAATGGTTGAGCTACGTTTCCAGAAGATGGAAAGTTGAGCTTTGCTATAAGTCTATAGCTGAAAATACCACAGATTGAGATAATGTAAATGAAACATAATTTAGTCTTAACACATCAGTACTCTTACATATGTGTCAGCTTTTCACAGGCTTCAAATGGCTTCAGCAGTCTCCTACCGCCAAGCTGTGTCCTCATGTAACTTGTGGCCTTGACTTATGATTGACATTGGCCTACTCCACACCCAGCTGGCTCAAAACACATATATGTTTTTTTAACAACTTTCTCTCAAGATGCATTGGATGAAGCCCCAAGGATGAGAAGTTGTGTAATTGAAGGCACATTTGCTGAAGGAATTGTAAAAAATATGGTTAAATTATGGCCGTTGAAAAGTTGGAAGAAAGTCACTGGGCTCAAATATCCTAATTTGCTAGGTAAATGTATTCATATTTGAATAACATGCCATAAATATTTAAGAACATGAGGTGGGAGACCCTATTCAAACCTTACTTCATCTGTGATTTACAATTTTCAGCTTTGTTGCTCTTGTTTTATTATCTCAACTTATAAAATTGTTACTCATATTAGTAAAATAAATTTATTGTCAGGCCCAGCCCAAGAACAACGATGAAACAGTCCAGTCGAGTACAGTTCCTTTATTT